CTATGTATTTTATTTATCTATTTAAAAGCATTATTTTGAGCAGGGTCCAAAAATTTCACTAGACTGACAAATGGGTCCTCTACACAAAAAAGGGGTTAAGAACCCCTGCTGTGGAATAAAATAATTCTGAATTATTTGAATTGAAGCTTCTTAATTGTTGAAGAGTTTTCTCCTGAGTGCTTGACAGATTTGTTTTGATTTTGAAAATATGAAATGTAACCACCATCTCTCTTGGAGTGTCAAGCAAGTCTTGTGTTGTTTGTATTAAAAAATCTAGGCATTTTCATTGAATCATTTCCTGCAGTATGGTATTTAAGGTTTGTCTGTTTTTTTAATTATCATGTGCTTTTGGGAGACCTGTGATCCTTATGTTATCTTTGCCCATTCTGCTTCCAAAGTTAGTCACTTTAGGTTGTATAGAATTCAAAAACGTCTTTGGCCAATTTTTTTTCCCATTTTTTATTTCCAGATCTCTCATTTTCCTTTTCAAAGGCTCTACTTTGAAAATATTCTCCATCATGTGTTTTAAGTTCTCTACCTTACTGTTTTTTTTCTAATTTTAAAACTCTTGTGTTTTTTTAACATAATTTTCATCCTAATATCTTCTTCTAATGGTTTACTTTCTCTTTTGAACCATTTTAGAATTTCTAACTGTTCCATGATCTTTGGGGAGTTCACAGAATTTTCTTTTTCCCTGGCAACTTGATTTAATATTCCTTTCCCAGTATAGTCTATACAATGAGTTATGGCCTTTATTGAATTTTCATGGGTTTTAGAAAATTATTCTTTGAATTTTCCCTTATTTTCCCTTTTATCTTTATGAGTTCCTCCGTTGGTTTGAGTGCTTTCAGCCTTTTTCTTATGTTCTCAGGTGTTTGTCTTTGGCTATTCTCAATTTTTGGCCCCTCTCCTTTCCATTGCTGTATGTATGCACCCACTGAGTGGGTATCTTCAAACTTATTATGATGAAAGGGGTTGGGCATGTGGGCTTGCCTCGACCATCATTGTAAGGAGCAGGGAATTAGCCAGTAGAAGAGGAGGAAAGACTGAAGATTAGAGAGAGGGGATGACTTTGGGGGTAAATCTGCTGCAACAAAGAGGAGGAGATGGGATAAAGGGTACATGTAGAAGGATTGGTCTTGGCAAGAAAGGTCACTTCTTCCTAAAGGACTGGAGTAAAGGAGAAAACAGTGGAGGGTGAAGTCCTTTTCAGATGTTGTTGTTTGTCCTTCATTCTCAATGAAGACCATGACATCAGGGAGGTGATGCCACGACATGCAAGTGAATTGGATTCAAGTGAAGGAGGGCTGGACAAAGTCACCAGCCTCACTTTCTCCTCCAGAACCATCTGCGGCCAGACATAGATCAGGACTTCTGGAGATGGCCCTCTTCTGAGGTGTAAAAAAGGACAGAAGAGAGTGCTCAAGAAGAATGATTTCTATTTTCTCCACAAAGTAAATATGAGGTGATGTTCTCCATGGAGAGGGTGTTTAAAAGGTCTTGCTATGATGAGAACCCAGCAGAGATGACATACATTTGCAATGGACTCTCTCTAATGCATTGAGGGATTTTTCCCCCCAGCTCTTTTCAGTCAGGCAATAGAAGGATGGGAGAAGTAGTTGGTGGGAATAATCCCAGGGCTGTGGTTTGATAAGGTATTAGCAAAACACAGAGTTCAAAATATTCTAAAGTAGAGAATAGTATAAAGGTTAACTCCAGGGTCAGGATAAGAAAGGGTGATGGTCTGGGAGAGCGCTTGGGAATGCAGGGAAGGCCTCATAATTATAATCATTAATATGAAAAGGTACTAAATTGCTCTTCTCTAGATTCTTTTACCAAGTAAATTATATATTCATAGTTTCACCCCTCTAACAGTTTCAGAGAGGAAAACAAAACCTCGCCACTAGCAGTGACTTATAAATACTTTTCAACATTTAACACCACAGAACCTCAGAATTGGAAGAGATCTTAGTAGACATCTTCCACTCAACCTGTATCTAAATCAGAACCCTTTACATTCAGGGGAGGCAGGATAGTACATGGCAAGAGCCTTGACAGTGGACTCAGAAGACCTTGGTTCAAATCTTGCCTATCTCTGTGCCCTTTGGTGAGTTGTTTAACCTCTCTGGACCCTAGTTTCTCATTTATAAAACAAAGGGGTTGGAAGAAATAGAAATCTATGATTATATACATCCCCATCAAGTGGCTATGCAGTTTCTGCTTGAAGACCTTCAGTGATGGGAAACTTCCTTGTTCCAGCCCTTTACACCAATTCTGGACAGCTCTAATTGTTGGAATGTTTTCCCTTATATTGAACCAAAACCTGACACCCTTTAGATCTATGTGTCCTTCCTAGCTAATAATGATAGTGATATCTAACATTTATATGTTGCTTTTCTATTTATAAAGTACTTTTCTTATAAAAACCTGGTGAGGTAAGCAGTATGAGCACCATTTCCATTTCTTTTTTGTTGTTGTTGCAGATATACTTTAATTGGAAAGGCAATCGTGCATTATCACCATTTCTATTGCACAAAACTCCCCATTTCACTGTCAAAAAAAAAAAAATCAGACTGGGTAAGTCACATAAGCCAAGAGATTGTACTTGTACCAGCAAGGGGAAAGAGTTAGATTTCTTTAAACACTGTTCCACTTCTGCATGGCACAACTGTACATTTTTATAGGTATGAGAGAGGGGGAGAGGAACAGTAAGGGTAAGTGATAGTGGGAAAAATGTCAAAGATGTTATATAATATTTTGTGGTTTCTATGTTTTCATTCTAATTCTGCAATATCTGTGTTTTACATTCTAAAACAATTTGCCTCCAACCAGTCTCTTTGATTTCCTAAGAATGTTCTTGTCATATCAGTCCTGATTGTCAAGGTTTCTCCAAGATGGTGTCAGTTTTTTTCTTCCTCTTCACAAGTGAGGAAACTGATGCCTAAGGATGTCCAGTGACTTTCATAATGCCAGACTACTTACTTAGTGTTAACATTATTTAGAGACCAGGAGTTCTACACACTGTAGTAGCCTTCTGTAGACAACCTGAATCAACCTAGAAGGCCTGATTTCAGGTAACCTATAACAATATAGGGCTGGAGTTGGGCGGTAAGAAGGGCAGAGAATTCTTCACTATTAAACCTGGCATGTATATAGTTGAAGAAAGACTATCTTTGGATAGGTCTTCATTAAGCTGAATGCTTCATTAATTCCATGAGGTGACAATCTCCACTTCTTTTACTATATTCTTTGGAGCTTTGAGATGGACGCAATGTTGATATAAAAAGATGACTTGTAGGTACAGAGACTAGGCATTTGATAAATACTTGTTGATTAATAATTATCTGACTCATATCAAACAAAATGAGGCTCCTGTGGATCACTGCATCCTTCAAGTCTCAGGTAAAATTCCATCTTCTGCAAGAAATCTTTCCCAATCCCTTATTACTAGTTTCCCTGAGACTACCTCGAAGTTTTCTTGTCAGTCAAGAAGCCTTTACTAATTGCCAGGCACTGGGCTAAGAGCTTGGGGATACAAAGCAACAGACAGTCCCTAATTTCAAGGACCTCACAGTCTAACGGGGGAGACAAAATGCAACAACTATGTACAACTAAGATACTTACACGATAAATTGGAGATAATCCAACAGAGGGAAGACACTAGAATTAAGGGAGATTGGGAAAGGCTTGTTTGCACATAGTTGTTTAAATGTTATCTCTCCCATTAGATTGTGAGGTCTTTAAGAGCAGGGATTTTTTTTTTGTTGTTGTTGTTTTTGTCTTTTTTTTTTTTTTAAAATATCCCTAGGGTTTAGCACAGTTCCTGGCACATAGCAGGCTCTTAATACACGCCTGTTGACTTGACTTGTTACACTGTTCCTCTTAAATACAACGAGCAGTCAGATTAAGCAACAGTTTCGGGACCAAGGCCAGAAAAGGTTGAGGGGTAGAGTAGAAAAGGAAAAAAGCCCCAGGGCGCCGATATTCCTTCCAGCCAGGGGTTCATTCCCTCACACGCCCACCTACGATGATTCCTTTGGAAGGCTCTCGGGCTGCCAGAGACACGTCTAGGTACACCCGGGTCTACGCGTGCAAGCCTGAGCACAAGCACAGCAGTTGAAGGCACTCCCCTGCAGGGGTGGCATGGATTTGGGGTGCAAACGTCTAGTCCAAACCCAAAGGAGTACACACCGCAATATCAAGAACATCTGCCTCACGAAGCGAAGCTGCGATCACGGCGGGGAGCTGAGGCCTCTCCACCCATCACCCCTCGAGGAAGCAAAACCTTCGAGGTGGCGTGGGGGGGGGGTCACGTTTCCGCGATGGTTGGTTGGCTTGTGCCGAGGAAGCACTAGGCTCTCCACTTCGGGGGCGTGACTGCAGGGGAGGGGAGGGCTCGTGGATGGTGTGTGCGAGTGTGTGCTGGCGCTCGCCGGGAGCACGCAGGCGCCTTTCTCCAGTTGTGCACTCCCGTGGTGGTGCTGCTGTGGGAAAGCGGAGCAGCTGAGCCGTCCGCTCTCCCTCCCTTCCTCCCCACCCGGGGAAGGGAGCCCGAGGAACCCCGGGGCGGCCGCCCAGCTCCGACCCCCCATCCCTCCCCTTGCCCCTGCCCCCGCCCCTCCACGCGGGGAAGGCACGGGAGACCAGCGGGAGCCGGAATCCAGCCTCGCAGCATTGCAGTCCCAGGAACGACGGCTGCTGCTGCTGCGGCGGCGGCGGCACTGGCGGGACTTTTCCTCCGGGAGGCGGAGCAGCTGGGACTACCGGTTGCACCGAGAGACAGCGGGGAAAGCCCCCTCGTCCCCAGCCCGGCCCGCAACCCTGAGCGCACGATCGCTCCCACTCCCACGGCCAGCCCGGGCCGCGCAGCAGCCCCCGGGCCTGGGCTGGAGCGCTGACAGCTGCGGCGGCAGCCCGGGAGCGGCGGCGGCCCCGGGCGTGCGGGCAGCGAGCGCGGGAGGGGGCCCGGGTGGCGGACAGCCGTGCGGGGGCGCCCCAGGATGCTGAGCTTCCTGCGCAGGACCTTTGGCCGGCGGTCGATGCAGCGCTACGGGCGGGGAGCGGCTGCTGGGCGCGGGGCCGGCGGGCTGGGAGACGAGCGGGACGGGGGTCCCCGGGGGGCCTCTTCGGCTCCCCTGCCCGCTGCCCCCGGGGGCAGCGTGTTCCCCCCCGGCGGCGGGCCCGTGCTCACCGGCGGAGCTGCGGTCCACATCCCTGCGGCCGGAGCGGGCAAGGCGGCTCTCTGTTGCCGGGTCTTCCTGCTTGATGGGACCGAAGTGAGCGTGGACCTGCCGGTGAGTGGCGATCGCCGACCCCCTCCCGGGCCCCTCCGCATGTATGTCACCCCCGCCCCTCGTTCCTGTTCTCCTGGGGAAGGGGGGGGCTGGCCAACCTTAGTGGTTCGGAGGCCCTGGCCTGACTCCGGAGGTGGGGCGGGGTCTCAGGTGTCTCCCAGACAGCCCCTCCCCCAGATTCTCCTCCTCGGACCTAGCCAACTTAGCAACAAAACACCCCCCTCGCCTCCCCTGCCCACTAGGACCAGAAAACCCTCGTTTTATTTTTCTTGCATTAGAAAAAATTGGTTGTGGCTTTTGTGGGGGGTAGGTGGGATTTCCTCCCCCTTCTGTGGGTCCCTTAGGGTCCCCAGATCGCCCTCCATTCCACCTCGGCTCTGCCCGGAAGCTGTATGTGTGTGTGTGTGTGTGTGTGTGTGTTAGGGGCGGGAGGTGAGGAGTGAGAGCCCGGGAAATGGGGGGCTGGGGGGGAAATAACACAAAACTTCAGGGTTGATGAACTTTATTTGCTGGTTGCAAACGTCGCCCCTCCAGGCGTTTGTATCTGTGTATGCTGGGGTGGGGAAGTCTAGTGCTGGCCCTTCCTGACTATAGGGAACAGGCGTGAGCGATTCTGGAGGTGCTATCTCTCTGGACTTTCTTCCCCGTGCAAGGTGTACGGGGCCCGCCCGGCCTGGCCGCCTCTGGCTCGGCGGGTGTCCGTGGCTCGGGCTGCCTCCGCAGCAGCCGCAGCCCCCGCCGCCGCCGCTGCCGCAGCCGCAGCTCACAGGTGTTTGCTCCCCCTCTCCCTCTCCGCCCCTCCCCCTCCCCGCAGAGATCCGGGCGGCACCGCAGCCGGGCCGGGTGGGGGTTTGACTGGAGGCGGGGCTCATGGTGATCGAGGAGTGGTCCTTCTGGCCGGAGGGGCCGGATCCAGCCCCCCCACCGCCCTTTGCAGGAAGCCCTGGGAGCCTCTGGCTGTCTTTGCTCCAGGCTCTGGGCCAAATGTCGCCTTTTGTAGCCTTTGGGGATAACTCGAGGACAAAGCGCTAATTTAGAACGACTGTTGCCAAATCTTCCCCGAGTTTAATAAGGGGAGAAATAGAAGGTTTTACTTTTAAATAAAACCTTCAGGGGCGGCGTGTTGTACTTGATGATAGAACTGGGGGGACCCCAGAGCCTCAAAACTGTTGATGGGGAAATTTTCTTTAAAAAAACAAAAAACAAACCCAACGCCTGATTTCGGATTGTATGCTTCTTGAGGCAGTTTTAATCCGTCTCAGGTTTATTTCTGAGGAACCTTGTTTGCTCCATGGGAAATCATTTTTACCATGAAAGTGTCCCTGTTTTGTAGTTATTGTTCCCTGAAAATAAAAGCCAAAATTGAAGCCTTTAAATGTTTAAAAATAACATTGAAGTGTTACTGCTCCGATAGAATGAGTATGTACTTCTTTTTAACTGGGAAAAGAGAACTGAGCTTCTTTATTTGGAGGAGTGAATGGTGTCTTTCTTTTGAAAAGGTGCAAAGCCTACAGATGGAATATGTTGCTTCAATTTAGATAGTAGGACTGTTTGGCGTTATTGTGCAATTCTGTACTCCTCAGCTCTGGGAAGGGAAAGCCAGGAACACTTCTCTCCAATACACAGAGGTAGTAATACTTTTTATAAAAAGGGAGGGGGAAAATATGGAGGCCCTCTGCATTATTGCAGTTGTGTGATGAAATAGCTTAAAATGTGGTCAGACTACATCTGTAGTATTGTGTATACTCCGTTCTGGCCCCACATTTTAGTAAGCATATTGGCAAACTGGAATGCTTTCAGGGAAGGTATCCAGAATGATGGAGGGGACCTTGGCTTCTACCATAAATGATTAGTTCCGGTAGAGTGAAAGCTCTTTGACAGAGGGGCTGTTTGTTTGTGGGTTTGTTTTTGTCTTTGTATCCTCAGCATAGTATTCATAATAATAATAATAATGATGATGATAGCAAACATTTATAGAGCATTTATGGAGATGATTATATGTTGAACTGAATGGATTCCTTTAAAGAAATTAAGACGGTTTAGCCTGGAATGGAGAAGACTGCCTTCAAGTATTTAGAAGGCTGTTAATGTGAAAGTAGGATCAGACTTGGACTTCATGCCCCCAGGGAGCGAATTAGGAGCAAAGGGTGGGCCTTATAGAAGGGCTGGATTTAGGACTGCTGTAAGGAAAAGCTTCCTAATGATTAGAGCTCTCCGAAAGTAAAAGAGGCTGCCTGAGGAGATCTAGTACATTCTCTCTCACCGGAGATCATTAAGTGGTGGCTGGATGATCACATGTCATAACTATCCTCAGGAGATCTGTGGAGATTTTGGAAGGGGAGCTAGGCAGCTCAGTGACTAGATGATCTGGGCCTGGAATCAGGAAGACCAGAGTTCAAATGTGACCTCAGACACTTACTAGCTGTGTGACCCTGGGCAACTCACTTAACTGTTTGCCTCAGTTTCCTCATATATAAAATGAGCTGGAGAAGGAAATGGCAAACCACTCCAGTATTTTTGCCAAGAAAACCTCAAATGGGGTCACAGAGAGTCAGACATTACTGAAAAATGATTTAACAACTGCAAAAATGAAGAGGGAAGGAAACAAGCATTTATAGACACTGTGCTAAGCTTTATAAGTACTGTCTCCTTTGATCTTCATCACAACTCATTTTATGTTTGGGTAAACTGAGGCAGACAGATGAAGTGACTCGCCCAGGGTCACATAGCTAATAAATGTCTAAATCGAAATTTGAACTCTGGTCTTCCTGACCCCAGGTCTAGAACTCCATGTTCTTCTCCACCTAGCTGCAACAGCCAGGTTGGGCAGAGTGGATGGAATCCTGGACTCGAGTTAGGAAAACCTCAGGCATTAGCTGGGTGACCCTGGATCCTTAACCTCTCTAAAGTCTCGTTTCCTCATCTATAAAATGGGGATGATGAGACCTACCTCAGTAGGGTTATTGTGAAGATTAAAGGAGAGAAGGTATATAAAGGGCTTTGCAAACCTTAAAGTGCTGTGTAAATGACAGTTTTTATTATGTTGTAAGGGGATTTTGTTCAGGTACTGCCACATGAATCCTGAGACCCTTCCCAACTGAGGCTGAGATGTGTAAAATGCTTATCTGACCAAATTTTTTAAAAAGATGCATTAAATATACACATAAACAGACTTGCAAACATACTAGCACAGTCTTTATGCAGATGATTACATTATCTTGTGGCCCTGTTTTTTTGCATTCCAAATAATTCTTCAGTTTACAAAAGAATTCATTCCAGGCTTGAATTTCTTTGAATGTTAAATATTCCAGTTAAAAATTCCATCTTAAGATTTAAGATATTAATCTTTTATTGTACAACAATTTGATTTACAAACAGCTTTTATGAACACCTATTGTGTAAAGGTACACCTGTATTGTAGCCTGTGTATGTGTGTGGGCTCTCTCATATACATATAAAATAATTTTTTATTATTTATATATAATATTATATTACATATTCACCTGTATCAATATATTTTATATATATATATATAATAATTATAGGATTATAGTTTTACAGCTGGAAGGATTGTAGTTAATTTGATTTTCATTGATAAGTTTCTTGCTGCACTTTCCAGTCTTACTGTGCTAGCAAAACCTTGTAAAGCAAACAGTGTGGAATACTGCTAGGGTGCCCAGCTGCCTCTGGTGGCTGGCTGGGGGAGTGTGATGTAGTGGAAAGAGTACTGGAATTTGATGTCAGAAGACCTGGGTTTGAGTCTCCAAATAGCTAGCCACGTGACCATCGATAACTTTTCTGAATCAGTTTCTCCATGTGTAATATAGACATAATAGTTAACAGTGACTGCTGAAGAAAGGGCAGCATATAAATATGAGTTGTTTTTATTATTGTTAATGACATCTTTTGGGCCACTGTTCCCTTTGTTACATGAGCACATAGGGGTGTGTGGGGGTGTGTGTGTGTGTGTGTGTGTGTGTGTGTGTGTGTGTGTGTGTG